GATTTCAAGGGACACGAGAGTGGCAAGTTGAACTCTTAGGGCTTAATTAATCTGATTGTTGTTTCAGGGAGATGGCTGCGTGAAAGAGAGAGAGAGAGAGAGAAATGATACCTGTGGGCGATGGGGGGTTTCAGTAGAAGGACCTGGTAACAACTTTTTGGGAATGAAAATGACCAACATACCCCCTAAGGTAGAAAACAATGGAGCAAAGGAGAAACCAAAAGGACGAAAATGAGAGTGCCACGTGTCAACTCTCAAAGGACTCTAATGTTTTCTTATTAGTTATTAAGGTAGATGTGAATGAATATTTTGCCCCCAATATAATTGTATTATTACAGTTGTGCCATGAGAAATTATCTTGTAAATAAAAACTTCAGTTATAATGAAAATCGTACCAAGAGAATACATTTTCTCTATTCTCTCCCTTTTTTTTTTCTTTAATTTTAAAACAATGTTTTATTTTTTTTCTTTTGTGCAGTTATGTATTTTGGCCAAACATGATAAAGCTCATATGTCCATGGGGCCATTATAATCTTGAGGAAATTGCATGTCATACTGTCATTCTTAAAATATTTAACACTTTTGCATTTTTTTAAAATCACCTAAACTACATAAAATATTTCCAATTATACCTAAAAGTTGATTAACCGTTATTAATGTTTTAATAATGGTAATTAAGATAGTAAGTCAAATTAATTATCCACTTACCAAAAAAATTGGAACTCTAAAGTTACTCCCCACCGCCCCACACGTATCCCGTCATCTTCCCAAACCGCTCACCACTTTCGCCGACTTCGAATTTCAATGGCCAACACCAAAATCCCTCCTCCTCAACAATAAAATCCGGCAGATGGTGGCGACGTTTCACTAGTTACAAGATCTAGTGCCCGACTCCGTAAAATCCTCCCAAAAAATCAACCAAAACTCGCTCAAAATAAATTAATTTTCGAGAAAAAATAAAAACCTAAGCCTAGTCATCGCAGGGTTTCCGGTAGACTTGTCAAAACGGGCCGG